ATTTTAGTTTTTGGGGTTGCTCGGTGCTGGGCAGACTCCGGGCCATTCACGCAGCTGGAGACCGCCCGCCCGCCTGCCCGCCCGCCTGCCGGTGGTGAGCCGGACAGCCTCCCCTGGGAGCCGGACAGCCTGCGGACTGGGGTGGGCTCCTCCCGCGCCCCAGCTGGGCCACGTTCTGCGCCTGCCGGGTCCATCTGGGAGCAAGAAGGTTCTGCAGGGCAGGCCAGCTCCCAGCCCCCACGCCCCACCTGGGGCCAGTCACCAAACTCTGAAAGTTAAAGTACAACCCCTAGGAATCTGCTTGTTTTGTTTTCTCATTTTCCGATGAACAAGCACATTTTACTGGTTGAGCCACGCATGTAGTCATCTCAATGCCCTGCTTAAAATATATCGCTGACCCCTTTTGTCTAGAAGATAAAATCGAGGCCTTTCCTTCCGCCCCAGGCTTTGAACACTCTCCTGAACCTGCCTGGAACCAGCCCCACTGATCAGCTTCCTGCCTCCCGAACAAGCCCTCTACGTTCATGCCTCCTGGCCTTTGCACTTGCTGTTTTCTGAGCTTAAACTGCTCACCATCTGGTGAACTCCTACTTATCCTATGAAACCCAATTCAAAAGGCCCCTCTCTGAAACACAGTTATGTGTCCTGGGAATTGCATGGGCCTTGGAGTCAGGAGACTTGGGTTCCAGTCCTCGCCCCACCTGTGATCCGGCAAATTACTTCACCTCCCAGGACTCCAGTCTCTTCACTTGTCATTGTCCTGAATGTCAGGTACCACATCCTACTCATCCCCAAGTCCTGTCCTTCCTCCCCATTGCCTAAGACAGTTACTACCCCATGATGGTAATAAGTCAGCCACTAACTTCCCTGGTGTTTCAAGTCCTGCTCTAGGAAAGGTGGGGCACCCCCAGCTTTACTCATAGGAAATGCAGGGGTGGGGGTTCCACACCAGTGAGCGGTGAGTGCTCACAGGCAGGGCCACGTTCCTCAGGTGGGTTGGCACTGGGTGCACAGTCACAGGGCTCCCAGCTGCGGAACTTAGTGGTTGGGCAGTCACAGGGCACCCAGCTGCGGAACTCAGTGGGTGAGCAGTCACAGGGTGCCCAGCTGCGGGGCTCGGCGGGTGCAGTCACAGGGTGCCCAGCTGCGGAACTCAGTGGGTGAGCAGTCACAGGGTGCCCAGCTGCGGGGCTCGGCGGGTGCAGTCACAGGGCGCCCAGCTGCCGGGCTCAGTGGGTACACAATCGCAGGGCGCCCAGCTGCGGGGCTCGGCGGGTGTCAGAGGCAGCCCAGGTCCTCCTCCTGGGGAGGCGGTGAGCGCCACGCTCCGCC